GCCACCCCTAGGCTCATCTCTAGTGAGCCTGGTTTTATCCCCTTCCCCCTTTGAACCTAGTTTAAAGCCCTCTTGATGCGCCCTGCCAATTCATGAGTGAGAATCCTTTTCCCCTGTGAGACAGCTGAACTCCATCTGTCGCCAGCAGGCCCGGTGCCGTGTAAACCTCCCCATGATCAAAAAAGCCAAAATTCCGCTGATGGCACCAGCCCCTGAGCCACGGGTTGATCAGGTGTGTTTTCCTGTTCCTTTCAGTATTCTTCCCTGCCACTGTAGGGATTGAGGAAAACACTACCTGTGCTCCTGCTCCTTCAACCAATCGCCCCAGTGCCGTGAAGTCCCTTTTGATCACTGCCTTTAGGTCATATGCCCTAAAGACTGTCAGCAAACAACATGCAGCAGCAGCAGCAGTTTCTTCTGTTTCCCTTCATCCAGCTCCACATCTACTTCTTAAATGTCTATTCCTAAATGAAATATTTTTCCAATTCCACTCCAGAAATAGTGCACAGGAGGTGTAATTTGCTCCTTTCACTGCTCATGAATAGTAACAATATTGAGTAACAGGGGGAGCAAATATAACAGTGAGGTGAGTTTTTCTCATTTGGTATTGGTAATTGAGGAACACGTTTCTGCATTTTTTGTCTTGGAAACAGACAATGGATGCTTCAAAGAGCGTAGAAGACTTGCACAGAGAAATCAAGTCCGTTGCAGAGGAAACCATGCAGGAGGTTCAGAATAAACCTTTGGGAGAACTCTGGAAATAAAACTTTATACAGGTTATTCTTTTAGACCTAAGGGAAAACTCACCTTTTGGATCTTCCTCGCTTGGATAACTCCCCTACATCACCCTCCAGTAACTACAGCTTAGATCCCATGTATTCTTTTGGGTCCAGCATGGTGCTGATGTCCTTGTGATTTTATCTGCTCCTCCCCACCATCCTGCATAGTCCCATCTGTATTTTATAAATGAACATGCAATGAACATGTAACAAATTCCTTATAAAAGCCTCCTTACCTCAAGTAGGAGCTCTTGTTCTAGCCCCAGTCCTGTAGTGCAGATGTGGGTATGGAGCCCAGGGCTGTCCCTGGACACGGACAGCAGCAACAGGCAGGCAACAGCCTTCCCAGTTTCGGGGAACTGCCATGTTTCTGATTCTTCTGCCTCTAGTAAATGCATCCCCTGTGCTGAAACTGGTTTGTAGAGGACTTTCTAATAAATTATTCTTTTAAACATTTTGCACAGGGCATATTTTTTTTTTCAGTATGATCATTTATCTTCTAGAAGGATATATAGGAGGTGAAGGTACTGCGGTTCAGGCACTAAATCCAGAGAGCGGTTTGCTAGAGCTGTGAAATGGAGAGATGAATTCAAGTCTGCTCCCCAGCTGTTCAGTGAGAACGACACAGAAACTGAACTGCTATGAGCAGGTAAGAGTCTGAAATAAATGTATTAGCTCATAGCAAGGCCAGTTTGAAGGGCGAGTGGCACATAAATTATTTTAGACTGGTCAAGTTAGTCCTGTGGCTAAGATCAGAGGAGTAGTCACCTGTGACTCCTACACAGGCCCCAGTGCAATTTAAACAGCCCAGCACAGGCTGGCAAACCAGATCAGCTATGAATTCATCTAAGTCATCAGTAATGACCAGCAAACTACAAAAAAATGGCATGTTAAATCCAATCATTTGCAAGGTGCACTGAGATACGGGGATGACCAGAAGAGTTAACGTCTATCTGCTGGACAGTTAACTCACCTTCTAGCAGTGTGGACTGGACTGATCTCCAAACTGGCCGATACAGAGACTAAATCCTGCTCTAACTCAGAGAGAGAGAGGCCGATTGAACTGACCACTAGCAGGGAGAAGGTGGTAAATGTTTAAAACAAAATTGCTAATGCAAGCATCAGCTGAAATGGAAAAAGCTGCTGCCTTCACTCTACAGCTGCACAGCACCTGGTAGCAGAAACACTCGGGAAGGAGGTGAGCACCTGTAACACTGAATCAGGCCCTTCCAGCAACACTGGAAGAAGACAACACACAGAGAAGTAATTTTATTCATATTAGCTTTAGGCTCCTGACTAAAAAGCCAGAAATACCTGTTAAAGATCTAAGAAAGCTGAGCTTAGCTCTGTTATTGGGGTTGTGTTAACACTCAGGTAAAATCTTGTCTGGCTGAGCTGTCCTTAACCATAAAAGCATGAACATGAAATCAGTAGTAACTCTTCATATGTACAGATAAAGAGGGAGATGCGTTCCGAGTGACTAGCCCTCAACAAAAAGGACCTGCCAATGGCAACAGAGGGTGCAGCCTTCCAATTCAAGTGCCATGTCTTGCCATTGCACAGCAAAACAGGAAAAATGGTTGTTGAAATGACTACTCTTACTTCTGTAACATTGACTACTGCAGAGCTGGGGTTTAAAAGGCTACCTGGACACTGAAGCTATAAAAAGCTATCAGTTAAATAGCTAAACAGTGGGCACACAATCTTAAAGGAAACAAGTTTCACTTTCCACCTACTTTTGAGACTCTGCTTGGCTCCTTCCCCTCTACCTCAAAAGCACACATGGCAGAGACTCAGCAAAAAAGCATGTCCAGTCTTGGAAGGGCTTACACTGTTTTAGAAGCAGAGAGATGCTGCACCACTCAGAAGGGACAGCCTTCAAGTATTGTTTTGTTGCCTCACGTTCATACAACTTAAAATTCAAGTAGCAGAATTGCTATGGAAGTGTTTTTTCCTTTTCTGCCAGCATGTCTGCAGGTGCTCACCCTCTGGGGCAGGAGCAACAACTTGGCAGTCCCAAGCAGCCAGCTTCTATTCTATCAGATACACCAAAAGGAAGATAAAGTCACCATTGCACATAGCTCAACTTTCGCTTCCATTTGCCTTCATTGCCCTAAAAGGGTAAAAACTGCAAGTGTTTTGACAGCGTTCCCAACTGCACTGCAGGGTTACTAGATACCACCTGCCACCACCTTAAATTCATGTGCAAGAACATTAGGACAGGCAAAGATTTTAGATCTGTTTATTCAGATACAAATTGAAAGCAGATGAATGGAGCACAGCCCCACTTCCCTCTGCTGCCTCTTCCCCTAACTACAAGAGAGAAGAGGAGAAGCAGGCAGAAAGCAGCAAATAATAATTTAGTGACAGAAGCATTGTGGTTCCCAGTTCAAACCTCTGCTTTTGGATAGCACAGGGACAGTTAGAGCATCAGTAGGTCAGTCACAGGGGAAATGGGTCATTTCTAGCCAGCTGTCACCACCCTTGGGCACAAAAGCATCAACTGACACGTTCCAATCCTAAATGTACAAAACAAAGCCTTGTAACAGGTTTGCAATCTGCAGCATGCACTAAGGAAACTACTTCAGCAACTTCTGTTGCAGTTTGCATTAAGACGACTCTCCTCCACAGTTTACCTTTCTCCGAATTCTGTGTGGAGAAGGGCCCCAGGCAGAGCTATCAAAGTAGCTAAAATTTCCAGTATAATTGGACCTTCTGAAGGCATTCTGTCTTTACTGCCCTCTTTGGGATGATTACTTGAAATGGGTTTCTCTGAGTTAGCTCCTACAGTACCTTTGTGCATACTCTGCAGGGAGGGGGAGCTGGCAGAAGACAAGAGGAAAGGTACCGATGCAGCCAGGAAGCCTACTTGACCTTCAGGCACCTTTTCTGATTTGGAGAGGGAATGTCTTAACAGGATTAGTTGGAGGAACTGCTGAACAACCCACTGAGAATACCTTGAGGAATTTATAGCTCACATTTTTGGTACTGTCAGGATTAATTCCCTAGATGCCATGCCAGCACACTGGGGCGCAGGCACAAGCAGGCACATGACTCGCAGATCTCAGTTGTCCTGTTTCACCTCTCCCAGCTGTGGACTTTTTTTTTCCTCAGGGCTATGGAATCCAGTTCTCTGCTCGAAGCAGCATTCCTGAAGATAGCTGCTGTAGACATTAATCCATTGTAGAAGCACAATGCTTTATTGACTCACCAAGCAAGAATATGCACATTTTCTATTCTCCTTCCCTTCTTTCTGCTGTTATTTAAACTGAGATTAAGATGGTCCTCCCCAGCAGCACGGGTCTGCTCCACACTTTCCCAGACAGCCTTTTGCTTATTGAATTACCAGCCACTTGTAAGTTCCCTCAACTTCCTTTTCATAGGATGTGAGCAGGAGAGGGGTACTACACCTGCAAGGAAGCACTGTGTACTGTAAAGCATGAACAGGAGTTGTACTGTAGGAAGCCCAGCCACCTGCACTCCAGGGGCTTCACAGCTGTCTTGTTGGGACATGTCTACTGTTCATTTGCATTGTGAGCTGCAGCTGGCCAGTGAGAAGAGAAGCTGCTCAAGGAATTAACTGTACATTTCACCTGCTAAATGACAGGTGGCTCTATTTAAGCTTCAGAGGGGAGTCCCCATATAAGGATTTAGTGCTCTAACGATTTCTATGCCTCCCCCAGAAGGCCAACTGACCTGCTGATTTAACAGATAGGCTTTGAACTCCTAAGCACCACTGCATCCACTTCCAGCAACTGTTTCCTGCTGAGAAATTCTGACTCCAGCCAGTAAGGCTGTAACACCCACTTGGTTCTTCATCCCAACGCAGACAACGCGTGCTCCGCTCAGAGGCTGCACAGAATGCCAGGATGGACAAGAGGTGGGGATGGCAGCAAGCACCTATGAAAACCGGTAGCCCCAGGCTCTCGAAGGAGCTTCCCTCCCCCCCTTCTCCCCACACATAACACAAATTTGCAGAGTCAGTTTCCTATTTGTTTTCAAAGGGATAGGATTTCAAAGTCTTCATCTTCTGAGTCAAAAAACCTTTCCAATCTGTCGGCATCAGAGGAGTCTGCAAGAGAAAAAGAAAGCACTACCTCCGTGGGACGCACTGACTGCTCGGCATCAGTGAGACCAGCAACTGGAGGGCAGCAGAATTTGAGTGTCAGGGGCCCACAAGTTCCAAGAGACTCTGTGACACACCTGAGTGAAGGTTCTGAGGAGGGATGAGAAATAGCATATATCAATAGCACAGAAAATGCACTGGAGAGAATTATATGGTGCACAGAAGGTGCACTACATTTCACAGATCCTGACACAGTTGCAGTGGAACTCTGTGCTGTGACTGTTTTGTACAACCTTCCTGTGCAGCAGCTCAGTATTAGCAGGAGACAGTTCTGCCTCAAGAGGCTCAAAATAGGAGAACTGGCCCAGATCTGGACTAATATCCATGAAGATCTCTGGCCCAATTAATTGATATGGGAACATCTTTTCCCCCATGTATTAAAGACTTGTTTTCTGCTATAGTTGCCTTACATTCCCTTACTACTGGGGAATGTAATTACACAACATGCACGCTCCCAAATGCAATTAGTACAGTCCATTTTGTGAGGAAGGGTAATGTACTTGATCACTCCTGTCCATCTTTCCAACTCTGTGGTGAGGAGGGAGCACATACCTAAAGGGGAAGCAACTTTACCATAGGGGAAATTCAGGTGAGAACACATGGACAAACGGGAAGTAAAGGAGAAACCTACATTAACTCGGGCTTCAAGAAAGCACACACTGGACTTGGCAGAACAGCCAGCCAAAAGCTAAACTGCAATAACCGATGGTTGGGGACAGAGAAGTGCAAGGCTGCAGACCTGCCTCCCCCCAAACATTTTGTGACAAGCTTTAATCCCCCAGTAGCATGTGCAAATGCCTAATGTCACTGTTCTTGATCAAACTGCAGTGCCCATGGGTGCTGGCAGCACAACTTCCAGAGGTGCTCCTCAGAGGAGCGGCCCCCTTCACTTCAGTAACACAGCAGAGAACCCAACTGGCTGGGGGCTGGACATTCATGAGAGCGTGATTAATCCTTCTAGTGAGGGGTAGGACTGTAAGAGAAACAGAATGGCCAGAGCAGATGGGAGAGGCTCTACAAACTAGGGAAAGAGGGAGAAGTAAAAGGACAAGTAGCCCATTGCAAAAACATTTTTAAGAGTAAGAAAGGCAGCAATTAGGGACAATTTAATACAGGCAAGGAGCAACTGACAGTGTAATAAATCAAGCATTCTTACAGAAAAGGACAGTGAGATAAGAAAGGCGTTGAAAGTTCATGCTAAGGAGAGAGCAAGCGCGCAAGGAAGCACAGGGTGCAGGATGCAAGTGACAGGACACGGTCCAATGCCTGGTGACAGGGTAAGTTTGTCCACGCATACTCACTCCTCTTGGCAGAAGCTGACAATGGCT